TCTTTTCAAGTGAGGTTGTGAACCTAGGTTTTCCTACATGAAACCCACACGGGCAACATGTGACCTGAGCACCTGCCCCACAGAGCTCACTGTGGCCCATGACCTTTGGTTTGGCCTGCTGTGCTGTAGAGATGATGCACATGGCAGCACCCCGCTATGACATGGACCGCTTCGGTGTTGTCTTCCGTGCCAGCCCACGCCAAGCCGACGTAATGATTGTGGCTGGCACACTCACCAACAAGATGGCCCCAGCACTCCGCAAGGTAAGCCGTGTCCCTGCCCAAGCAGCCAGTCCAGGTAACTGAGCTGCTTGCAGACTGCAGACCCCATGTCTCTTGTAGGTCTATGACCAGATGCCAGAGCCACGTTATGTTGTCTCCATGGGGAGGTAAGTGCCAAGCCGGCTCCTTCCATTCCCCATGCTTTGCCCTGCTCACGTATCTGAATGTAGTTGACATTTGATAGAACTATAACAGAGCTGGGTGCCTGTGTTCAGTTCAGGCCATCAGATCTGCCCTCACCCCAGAATGATTTCTTTTGGCCTTCCTTGGCCCAGGCAGCAGGCTTCAACCATCTTATTTGCCTTATAATTTTGGGGGCTATGTCACCCCCAAAAGACAAGCTTGCACTCTCCCCATCTTTTTTTTCTCTTCTTTTTTCTTTGGTCGGTCATGGGGCCTGAACCCTGGGCCTGGGCACTGTCCCTCAGCTCTTCAGCTTACGGCTAGAACACACCCCACTTCCAGCTTTTTCTGCTTTTCTACCACTGAGCCACCTTCCCAGCCCCTCTTTTTTCTTTCTTTTTTTTTTTTTTGGGGGGGGGTGCCAATCTAGGGCTTGAATTCAGGGCCCAGCACTGAGCTTTGCCCAAGGCTAGCATTCTACTATGTAAGCCTCAGCTACATTTCTGGCTTTTTGGTAGTTAATTGGAGATAAGAACCTCACAGAATTTTCTGCCTGGCCTGGCTTTGAACTGTGATCCTCAGATCTCAGGGCCATAGGCATGAGCCACCAGTGTCTCATTTTTGGTTTTGTTTGTTCTTTTGCTGGTTCTGGAGCTTGAACTCAGGGCCTGGGCACTGTCCCTGAACCTCTTTGTGCTCAAAGATAGTGCTCTGCCACTTGAGCCACAGCACCACTTCTGGCTTTTTCTGTTTATGTAGTACTGAGGAATTGAACCCAGGGCTTCATGTGTGCTAGGAAAGCACTCTACTGCTAAGCCATATTCCCGGCCCCCTAGTGTCTCATTTTTTGGAGATAGAATTCACATTGTATAAATTTCAGCCTTGTTTTTTTTTTTTTGGGGGGGGTGGTTCATGGGGCCTGAACTCTGGGCCTGGGTGCTGTCCCTTTTTTTGGGGGGGGGGGGGGGGGGGTGGGCAGCCAGTATGTATGCCAGTACGTAGACTTGAATTCAAGACTTTGTGCTCTTGCTCTCTTTCTGCTCACAGCTGGTGCTCTACCACTTGAGTCACACTTCTAGTCCATCATTTTTACTGACTACTTAGAATCTCTTGGGACTTTTCTACTAGGGCTGCTCAGTTGCCCTGTGCCCTGGGACTTTGTCCTTGGCAATCTTTGCTGATTGAGGGGCTTTGTGGTTAGATATCTTTGGATCCCACATTTCCTAGCCCCTTCCACATTTCTCAGCCTCCTGTTTGATTGTACCCCACCCATCCCATGGCAGGCTCCACGAGGCCACTTGCTGGCTGCTTGTTTACAATGTCTCTTTGTCTGGCTCTGGTCTTTTCTGACTGCCTAAACCCCTGTCTGCATTAGAAGCAGACAGCAGGGGCTGCAGGGGCTGAGCCATCCTCATTGTGTCTTCCCCCACAGCTGTGCCAACGGAGGCGGATACTATCATTACTCCTACTCTGTCGTGAGGGGCTGTGATCGCATTGTGCCTGTGGACATATACGTACCAGGTGAGACTGGGCCCTTGTGACCCTACTCAAGCCACCAAGAGCAGAGAGACTACCTCCCCCAGGCCTGGCCTTTACCCCAGGACAGTATCAGGGTTGAAGGTGCCTGCATAGGCGGAAGGGAGGATAGGCAGCGTTTGCTAGCTATAAGCTACATACAGCTCTGCCCAACTTAAAAAAAAACAAACAAAACACCACACCTGGGCACTGGTGGCTCATACCTGCAATCCTAGCTACTCAGAGACTGAGATCTGAAGATCACAGTCTGAAATCAGCCCAGGCAGAAAATCTGTCAGACTCTTTTAGCGGAATGGAGCTGTGACTGAAGTGGTAAAACACCAGGCTTAAGTAAAAAACCAAGCAAGAGCACAAAGCCCAGAGTTCAAGCCCCAGTACCAGCACACACATATACACACACACACACACACCAAAACGTACCACATAGGATGCAGTTCTTGAAACCAACAGGACAGAAGGCTGGTCTAAATTCTCTGGTCCTTGTCCTCAGAAGGGTTCCAAGACTTCATCAGATCCCCCATGGCCAGCATTAGCTTTAAAGTGTCAAGAAAGGCAGCGAATGATAAATTCTTCTAATTATCTCCCACACAGCCTTTGGACTATGCCAATACAGTATTACCTGGAATTCACATTTCCCTGGTCATCCTCTATTTGACCTGGTAGCCCTGTGGACCCTCTCATATGGTCCCAGCCAGCCTGGCACCCAAAGGGAGCCTGCTGGAGTATTTGCCTTGACAGTAGTCAGTACGGTCAGGAATGGGAGCTTATGCTGTGAGCAAGACACAAAAATGCCTAGTTCTTGCTGCCTGGCATTGTGCCCTTAGTGCCATGGTCAAGTTCTCAGCTGCTCAGGAAAATGAAAGTCATGTCATAACCTCCCAAACAATGGCAAGACAAGTTTGCCATTGAATGATGGTGGCTGTCTGGAAACAATTTGTTTGGAGTTCTGTGCTAAGATCTGTTCTCTGACACAGGGGCCCAAGGTGGCCCTGCCTGATCCTCATCCTCCCCAGGACTGTACACTAAGGGGTACTAGTATGGGACTTGGCTTCCTTCCACCTCATCCAGTCCTATCCTCTACCTGCTACCTCCAGGGGTCCCAGTGGTCCTCAACTGTCTTCTGCTGTCTGGCCACTTCTAGCCACTTCACGCTAAGACTGCTGGATAGCCAGGTGGGGGTTAGCTGGGCAGGGAAGATGGCACTCAGGGCCAGAAGTGCAGTCATTGGATCCTGTGTCATTTCCACAGGTGGTAGGTATAGGCCCTTCCTTCAGTCCCAGGCATCTGCCTGTGTCCCCAAACCCATGTTTCCCTTCCCTGCCCAGCCCAAGGACCCCTTGGCACTCCAGAATGCTGTACCTTGTAGTGCTGGGGTTTGAACTCAGGGCCTGGGCACTGTCCTTGACCTTTTTGCTCAAGGCTAGCACTGTACTACTTGAGCCACTGCACCACTTCCAGCTTTTTCTGTTTATGTGGTACTGAACCCAGTGCTTTATGCATGTTAGGCAAGCATTCTACCTATAAGCCACATCCCAGCCCCCCTTGTAGACTTTTGAGGAGTCTTTTTTTTTTTCCCCTTCTTTCTTGTGCCAGTGCTAGGGCTTAAAATCAGGGCCTGGTAACTTTCCCTTAGCATTCTGACTCAAGGCTGGAGCTTTACCATTTGAACCACACCTCCACTTCTAGTTTGTTTTTTTTCTTTTTTTTGGGGGGGGGCGTAATTAGTATTTCATTGAAGATAAGTCTGATGGACTTTCCTGCCTAGGTTGCCTTTGAATCATGATACTCAGCTTTCAGCCTTTTGAGTAGCTAAGATTAAAGGCATAAGCCACTGGCACCTGGCTTGTAAGGGACTTAGACAAAGTAGGAAGAGGGTAGCCCAGAATACAGGAGGGACACTGAGATTTTGGTCCCCACAGGCTGCCCCCCAACCGCAGAGGCCCTACTCTACGGCATCCTGCAGCTGCAGAGGAAGATCAAGCGGGAGAAGAGACTCAAAATGTGGTACCGAAGGTAGTGCTGCCCATGCTACTACCCTGCAATTGTGAATAAATCCATAGTAAACTTGCCTGAGCATGAATCCTAGTGTCCATGGGGTAGGGGAGCGGTGGGAGGCAGCAGGTGGATCCTGGCGTCTGCCTCTAGACAGGGGCTGTTACTATTCTATAGACATCAGACTTGGTTATGAAGCCCCTGCCCAGTCACTCAGCTGAGCCCTCCCAGGAAGGGGTGGCTTTGGAGAGCAGAAAGCTGTGAGTCTTGATGCAGTCTCCCTCTCAAGCCCACAGTAGCTGAGCACAGCCCATCATCCCTGCCCACACCTGAGTACCTAGGGCTCAAAAACTGTTTCTGAGCTATTTCTGGGGCCATGATCCAAATGGTTTCTAAACCATTCCTGGGCAGTGGGGACTCTAAGATGCTTTAGCAGTAGCTGCCTCTTAGCTGGAACACACCAAGACAGGCCTAGATGAGCCCTGGGGGACCATGTACATCCAGGGCTGTAGGAAGACCTTACTTCCTTCTCCTGACCTGGTACCCTTGGCCAGGGCCTCCCTCTAGAATCTGCCCTGTGTTCTCTAGACCACAATTCTACAATGTCTTAGCGACAACACTGGTCAGGGCTATGGTGATGGGTACCCAAGTCACTGGGGGTAAGCTGCCCAACCCAGCTTGAGGGCAGCATTTAGGACAAGACCACACTGAAATGGGAAGTCTCACAGGTAAGAGAAGCTTCACCAGGGCTTAGGGCTGAGTCTGCAGCTTGACTTTTGTACTCATGGTGGGGATCAGCAGCTGGAACAGACAGGATGGTTCCAATGCAGTTGGCCTGGATATGTGGATGATGCAGAACAGGGCTACAGAGGGACCCAGGCAAGATATTTGGAAGGATTTTCATATTGGGGGACAATACCACAAATGACACAGTTGAACCCTCTACTGCACAATTGCTTTCATCTGGCTCCTGGTCATGGCTGCCTGGAAGATCTTGGGTGCTGGCATCATGAGTGAATGGCAGGTAATCACAGAAGCAGGCTTAGAAACAGGCAAGGAGAGCCCCCAGGAAGGCCAATGGGAAGCTGCATGGACACCCACCACTGACTGGCCAGGCCAGCACCATCATTTATTTCACCCTTGGGCTCTGGGGACTACCAGCAGGCCACTGCTGGAGCTTAGGAAGGCTGCCCTGTGTCAGCAGGGACAGCCAGGGCTGAGGCTAGGGCTCACCCTCTAGCCACCAAGGCACTAACGGGTGCAGAAACACTGGTCCAGAGACCCTGAGGATCCCCCAGGGCCAGCAGCTCAGTGCTTGGTGACCAGTGGTGTGATCATCTGTGGGAAGGCATAGTAGCGGCAGTCGGCAGGTGGGGTGAGTGCCATCACTTCAGTGCGGATGTTGTCCCGACGGAAGCCCGCCTCCTGCAGCGCTGGCACCTGTGTCTCCTGGCGAGAGGGGCTCAGGTCATCCCAGGATTGGGCCTGGCCACACCCCCGGGGGCACATGGGATACTGCCCTAGACATGAATAGGAATCCCCAGCTTTCAGCCTGGACAGCAGCCACCTCAGCCCCTAGGTATCCTCCCATACCAGTCCCAGGAAGGATAGTGATACACTAGAGCCCACCTACGGGATCCCTAGTGGGCTGCTTTTGCTCTTGCCACTGTGTCCAGAGTAAGAGAACCAGGACAGGAAAAGGACACAGGCTGCTAGCTAGCTCATAATTTTGTTCACCCTGTGTCACTAGCAGGCTCTCAGAACTTCTGTGGGTTCCTAGGAGAGTAGCTAAAAAAAAGCATTGTCGCCTGATGCCAGTGGCTCATGCCTGTCATCCTAGCTACTCAGGAGGCTGAGATCTGAGGATCAGGGTTCAAAGCCAGCCCAAAAAACCACTGTGGCTCGAGTGGTAGAGCCTTACCCTTGAGCTGAAGAGCTGAGGGACAGTGCCCAGGCCTAGAATTCAAGCCCCACAACAAACCAAAAAAAAAAAGGTGCGGGGGGGGGGAACACTGCTGAACAGGTAAAAGGGCACTGAGGAGAATGGGAGGGGCTGAGCTGTATCCACATGCTGGGGAGTAACAGGAAGTGATTTGAGTTGGCAAGGCATCTTGGTGATTTCAAAGTAGAAAAATCAGCACACCAACCCACCCAAGAGTTTAACCTGAGATCCATGGGACAGAGGCTCTCCCCAACATCAACAGATGACTACAACATCTCCCCCGCCCCTCTCCCACCCACCAAGGTCCCTGCCAGACTTTGAGGTAGGGTCCACCAGGAACTCCCAGGTTTGCACCTCAAACATGGTGGTAATATCTGAATACTTGGACTTCATCAGTTCTCCCCAAGAGGTGAGATTGCAATATGTGAGGACCCCTCCAGGCTTCAGCAGGCGGAAGGCATGGTTCTGGGGAAAGAAACCAAGTAATCAGGAGAGAGCCTGAGGTGTAAATAGAGGGGGATCGAGCCCTGTGAGGCCCCCACACCCTAACAAGTCAGAGCAGCGAGTAAGAGAGGTGCTGACTAGACAGCCCCATGAAGCTGCAGTCTCACCTTGATAAAGTTGAACTGGTGTGTATGCCAGGTCTCCTCTGAAAGGGGGTATGTGTCATACAGGATCCCTGCATAGGGCATACAAACTGGCAATCAGGGCCACCATAGGCTCACCCAGCCTTACCTGGCTAGTCCTGGAGCTGCAGAAGCTGTGTTTCAAAGGCTACCCTGGTGTGAGCCCCAGCTACCTTTTCCATTCACCACCATCTTGTGTTTCTGTGCCCAGGCCCTCTGTGTATGTGTGCCGTTGTATGACCTCCACGCCAACTCCAACCCCCAGGCTTGTTCCTGAGTACATACTAGAGAGTGTATCAAAATGTCCCTCTGCAAGCAAAGGAGGAGCTGATGGTGCAGTTGCAGGCAGAGGGCCCCATGTAGGTTCCCCTCACCGTCAAAGTGATTGTCCGGAAGTGTGGGCGCCACCTCTTCCCACAGGCCTTTTAAGGGGACCACCTTGGAGATGGGAGAACAAGAGAAGGTTGGGGTTCAAAGAGGATCCTATCACTACTTGCTGTCAGAGGAATAGGAGATTCCCAAGGGAGGAGGCTGCCCCTTCCCCCCTCTCCATGTCACCCCAGGCTCCTGTCCCTCTGAGGAGTTGGCCTGCAGGTCACCAGGCACCTTGTGTGGCTGCTGTGAGGCCCAAGCCTGGAGCCGCTGGAAGACGCCATCATTGCACTCGATGATCCAGTGCTCCTCGATGGGGGCTTCCTGCAGCCTTGTGGCTGCAATGGCCATGCCAAAGCCCACCTCTAGGACCCGGCCCCCTAGGAGATAAAGGACACCAGGCTGCTGCTAGGTCCTGGGTGGACCTGGCCATTAAGTCACATCTGCCCTATGTCTGACCAGTTGGAAAGGAACTGTGGGTGGGTAGAACACAGTAGCCCTAAGGACAGAATCGCGTGGGCCTGGGCAGTAGCCAGAGAGAAAATGTCCAGCCTCAGGCCAAAGCTTTTGGGACCAGCCCCAATCTGTGTGTGGAGGGGGGTCAGAGCCTTGGACTTTGAGCCCCTGCCCACGCTGTTTGTGCTGGTGGCCCTTATCTCTCCAGTTAGTTACTTTTCTGTCCCCTCCCCCTGGCCGTGGGATTTCCAAGGACAAGGCCTTGTTTCGAGGATTGGGAGTCACAGTGATCTGAGCGGGAAGGAGCTCTAGATCACAGGGGGGAACACCCCCTCCCCCAACCCTGCGTGGAACAGTGCAACTGCCCATTTCCCAGAGGCCCTGGAAGGATTGTCTGGGGCTGGGGAACACTCCAGCTTCCACACTAGGCAGTGCAGAGCCAGTTTAGTGGACAGCTGTATCTCCGCTCAGCTTTCTCAAGCTATTCTTAGCCACCAGGGGGCGGGACCCCCACTGTCCCGGGCAGTCCGACACTCTTCCCCCAGCCAGATTCCCCTGTCCCTCCCACAAGCCGGGTTCCACCCCAGGTTGTGCGTCAGGGCATCCAAACCCCCGCCCTCCCTCGGCCTAGCCCGGAGAATCGGGGTTCCTTACGTTCCCAGTACCTAACAAGCGCGCCTGCTGCGTGCGGGCCCCGTGCCCGCAGCACCCCTTCTGCAGCCTCGGTGGCCACCCACCTCCGGGCGAGGAACCCGAGGCACACAGAGAGGCTGCTTCGCGTCGACCGGAGCGCCCCGCCCTCACGGCCCAGACCCGGTACCTCTGGAGGCGGCGGCGGCCGCCAGAGCGTGCATGTAGGGAGTCTCCCAGCGCTCCATCACCGGCTTGCCCAGGATTTGCAGGTGTGTGTCAGATGCATCGTAGGCCGCCGGCGCCGCGCGCCATGCAGGGCTGCAGTCCTCACCGGGCGCGAAGAGCGGGCTGGCAGCGGGGACACTCATGGTGCGGTGGCCGCCAGGACGCGTCCGGACCTCTGGCCGCGGGCGAAGCCTCTGTGGGGGCCTTCCGGGCAGAGCCCCCCCCCCGTGGAGGCGGGGCTACCGGGAGGGAGGGGCGGGGCCTGGGGTGGGGCCTTCGAGACCAGGTCCCGTTGGAGGCCGGCGGGGGTGTGGCCGGATTCATCAAGCAGCGGCCCTGCGGCCTTCAGTCCCCACTTTGTCTTTTACTTGCCTGGGAATCCCTCACCCGGAAGGGGCGTGAAGACCTGACGTTTTCCTAGCGCTATTGCGAAGTGTTTTTGAATATTTTAAATCATTTAACCTTCAGAATAGGCTGAGTTTCTCACTTTACAGATGGGGAAACCAGCAAAACCTAAGCCAAGAGGGTGGGGGGAGAGGTTCAATATTAGAACTCCCAACAGCACCCTGGAGGTGAGGGCTCACACCCCAATGACCATAGCTACTCAAGAGGCTGAGGTCTGAGAATCACAGTTCAAAGCCAGTCTGTGAGACTCACCTCCAATTAACCACCCAAAGAACCCGGCCTCGAACAATAAAGCTAAGGACAGCACCCCAACACACACACACACACACCCGAAAGTCGCCACCTATTCCACTTCACTGAACTGCCACTCCCCAATAACCCACCCCTGCTAGCTTCAGGTCACACAGCATCCTGATAGGGGAAGAACTAGGACAGCATTCAATCCTAGATGTGATCCTCATTCCTAGGAAGTCATGCCGTGCATAGTGCCCAGCTGCTTCTATCCACAGCCCCAGCCCCAGGCAGCCACTGGGGGGTCAGATTCCTCCTCAGCCTGAATCCCTAGTTCTATGATTTCCCTTTTCTGGACTTGTTAACTCAATAAGCTCCCTTTCCACAGCTTAGCATGCTCCTTCCCCTTCCCATAGCTTAGCATGTTCCTTTCCTAGGCAACACTAGGCCCATTTAGTAAAGGCAGTAAATAATCAGCCTCTAATCTTCCCTTTGTCTTGAGATGGCACTCCTCTGGGGCAGCTACCACCATATAAGGCAGCAAGATCCCCTTAGAGTGACCTTCAGGTCTGGGCAGCTGCAGGACCCCTTGTCTACTACTTGGGCAGCAGCCATCAATCCTAACCCACCATGATGAAGCCCCTGGCCCACACATCCACAGCAGGGTTATAAAAGGTCACTAGACACAATAGCTGGCACTTCTCTCGTGAGGAATCTTTCAGTCCCTTTACTGGCAATAAACTTTTTCTTTGTTCTTTGTACCTGGATGTCTGCATGGTTTTCTGGCAAAGTCTAATTTACTCTTACAGGACTGAACACAAAACTATGGCACAAACCCTGAACACTCTCAAATCCCCACAGAATACTATGGGTGTTTTTTTTGTGCTGGTCCTGAGGCTTAAACTTAGGACCTGAGCACTACCACTGAGCTCTATTTTCGCTCAGGCTAGTGCTCGACCATTTAAGCCACAGCCCATTTCCAGCTTTTTGATGGTTAATTGGAGCTAAGAGTCTCACAGAACTGGAAATGTGTCTTAGTGATAGAGGGCTTGCCTAGCATGCATGAAACACTGGTTTCAATTCTTCAATACCATATAAACAGAAAAAGCCAGAACTGGTGCTGTGGCTCACCTGGTAGGGTGCTAGCCTTGAACAAAAGGAGCTCAGGGACAGTACCCACCCAGACCCTGAGTTCAAACCCAGGGACTGGCAAAAAAAAAAGGTTTCACAGACTTTACACCCCAGGATGGCTCAGATCTCAGCCTCCTGAGTAGATAGGATTACAGGTATGAACCACCAGCATTTAGTTCACTTTGTTTTGTTTTGTTTTCTTTGGGTCCGGTCGTGGGGTCTGAACTCTGGGCCTGGGCGCTGTCCCTCAGCTCTTCAGCTCAAGGCTAGCACTCTACCGCTTGAGCCACAGCGCCACTTCTGGCTTTTTTCTTTTTGCTTATGTGGTGCTGAGGAATCGAACCCAGGGCCTCATGCATGCAAGGCAAGCACTCTACCACTGAGCCACCTTCCCAGCCCTAGTTCACTTTGTTTTATTTTTGAAAATAGTTCTTTTTTTTTTTTTTTGTCAATCATGGGACTTAAACTCTGGGTCTGGGCGCTGTCCTTCAGTTCTTTTTTTTTGTCGGTCGTGGGGCTTGAACTCTGGGCCTGGGCGCTGTCCCTCAGCTCTTCAGCTCAAGGCGAGCGCTCTACCACTTGAACTACAGCGCCACTTCCGGTTTTCTGGTGGTTTATTGGAGATAGGAGTCTCACGGTCTTTCTTGCCCGGGCTGGCTTTGAACCACGATCCTCAGATCTCAGCCTCCTGAGTAGCTAGGATTACAGGCGTGAGCCACCAGCGCCCGGCTTGTCCTTCAGTTCTTCAGCTCAAGGCTAGCACTCTACCACTTGAGCCACAGCACCACTTCTAGCTTTCTGGTAGTTAATTGAAGATAAGAGTCTCACTGACCTTCCTGTCTGGGCTGGCCTTAAACCAGGATCCTCAGATCTCAGCTTCCTAAGTAGCTAAGGATTATAGGTGTGAGCCACTGGTGCCTCGCTTAGGATAAGGTTTTAATTTATGCTGGACAGATTAGGATGAACTTGGGCTTCAATCTTTCTCTTTCTCTCTCTCTCTCTTTTTTTTTTGGGGGGGGGAGGTTGTTGTGGGTGCTGTACCTGAGCTCTTTCACTCAAGACTAGTAGTCTACCATTTTGAGCCATAGTGTCTTTTCCAGTTTTCCAGTGGCTAACTGGAGATAAGAGTATTAAAGATTTTCTTGCCCAGACTGGCTTTGAATAATGATCCTCAGATCGCAGCCTCCTTAGTAACCAGGATTATAGGTGTGAACACCACCACCCTGCTTGGGCTTCAATCTTTCTACTATGCTTCCCTCTGTTGCTGGAAATAACAGGTTTGTGTATCCAGCCAACAGTTGATATGGAGTCTCCAGAACTCCTAACTGGTCTTGAACTATTATCTCTTCATCTCTATCTCCTAAGTAATTAAGAATTACAGGCGTGGGGCTGGGAAGGTGGATCAGTGGTAGAGCGCTTCCCTTGCATGCACGAGGCCCTGGGTTCGATTCCTCAGCACCACATAAGCAAACAGAAAAAAGCCAGAAGTGGCGCTGTGGCTCAAGTGGTAGAGAGCTAGCCTTGAGCTGAAGAGCTGAGGGACAGCGCCCAGGCCCAGAGTTCAGGCCCACGACTGGACCCCCCCAAAAAAATAATAATAATAATTACAGGCGTGATAAGTAAAAAGTATAAGAGACAGCACCTAGGGCCTGAGTTCAAGCCCCAGGACTGGTACAAAAATAAAATAACATTACACACTTGAGTCACTGTGCTCAGATAGGGCCTTTTTGCCCCCCCCTTTTTTTTGCCAGAGCTTCTTTTTTGTTTGTTTGTTTGCCAGTCCTGGGGCTTGAACTCAGGGCCTGAGCACTATCCCCTGAGTTTCTTGAGCCAAAGTGCCCCTTCCAGCTTTTTCTGTTTATATGGTACTAAGAAATCAAACCTAGGGCTTCATGCATGCTAGGCAAGCACTCTACCACTAAGCCACATTCCCAACCCTTCCAGAGCTTCTTTTTACTCGACTAGCACTCTACCACTTGAACCATAGCACACTTCCAGCTTTTTTGGTATCTAATTGGAGATAAGAGTCTCACAGATTTTCCTGACTGGGCTTGCTGCAAAACACACTGAGCACCAGTGGCTCATGCCTGTAATCCTAGCTACTCAGGAGGCTGAGATCTGAGGATCTCGGCTCAAAGCCAGCCCAGACAGGAAAGTCCCTGAGATTCTTATCTCCAATAAACCACTAGAAAATGGGAATGACACTGTGGCTCAAGTGGTAGAGTGCTCACCTTGAGCTGAAGAGCTGAGAGATAGTGCCCAAGCACAGAGATCAAGCCCCAGGACTGACAAAAACAAAAACACAATTCTGGGGCTGGGAAGGTGGCTCAGTGGTAGAGCGCTTGCCTTGCATGCCTGAGGCCCTGGGTTCAATTCCTCAGCACCACATAAGCAAAAAGAAAAAAGCCAGAAGTGGTGCTGTGGCTCAAGTGGTAGAGCGCTAGCCTTGAGCTGAAGAGCTGAGGGACAGCGCCCAGGCCCAGAGTTCAGGCCCCATGACTAGACCCAAAAAAAAAAAAAATTCTTAGCTGGGCGCCAGTGGCTCACGCCTATAATCCTAGCTACTCAAGAAGCTGAGATCTGAGGATCGTGGTTCAAAGCCAGCCCAGGTAGGAAAGTCCATGAGACTCTTATCCCCAGAAAACTGGAAGTGGCACTGGGGCTCAGGTGGTAGAATATTAGCCTTGAGCCAAATAAGTACAGGAACAGTGCACAGGCCCAGAGTTCAAGCCCCAGGACCATCAACAAACAAACCAACCACAATTCTTAGATCTCAGCCTCCTAAGATACCCCACTTTTTTTTTTTTTTTTTGCCAGTCCTGGGGCTTGAACTCAAGGCCTGGGTCCTGGCCCTGAACTTCTTTTGCTTAAGGCTAGCACTCTGCCACTTGAGTCATAGCACTACTGCTGGCTTTTTCTGTTTATGTGGTACTAAGGAATCGAATCCAGGGCTTCATGCATCTAGGCAAGCACCTACCATTAAGCCACATTCCAGCCCCATCCTGCATTTTTTTTTAAATTTTGGTTGGTCATAGGAGTTGAACTCTTGGTTTAGGCTCTGCCCCTCAGCTCTTCAGCTCAAGGCTAGTGCTCTAGCACTTGAGCCACAGGGTCTCTTCCAGTTTTCTGGTGGTTTATTGGGGATAAGAGTCTCATGTACTTTCCTGCTTGGGCTGGCTTTGAACTGAGATCCTCAGATCTCAGCCTCCTGAGTAGCTAGAATTATAGGCATGAGCCACTGGCACCCAGCTAAGAATTCTGTTTTGAAGCAAGCCCGATCAGAAAAGTCTGTGAACCTTTTATCTCCGATTAGCTACCAAAAAAGCTGGAAGTGGTGCTGTAGCTCAAGTGGTAGAGTACTAGTCTTGAACTGAAAAGCTCAGGGACAGTGCCCAGGCCCAGAGGTCAAGCC